TAGTAAACAGAGAGGATTTAATGAACTGAAAGTATCTGCAGTAAAAATGGTAGTTGAGGGAGTTAATTCTTTGCCTCGCCACCGAGTAAGCGAAATAGTCGAGCGCAGAGCCACTTTTCAAATATTTTTTGAATAGCGTATTTTTTATTCCTGTAATATATAATTGTTTTATTAAACCAGGGCGGACAACTATTTCGAGGTCGGCACTGCTTGATCGGAGCAGATGCAGCAGTAGCTAGATTTAATATATTGTAGAACGATGACAATAAGCTTTTAATACTCCCGGTTGAGAAATCAAGCCTCATGTGTGAAAGACGATGTTTTAGCAATACAATATTGGTTTTATGAAAATCATAATATTTTTTTAAAAAAGTTTGATTTGGCACATTAAGGCAGTTCAACGAACTATCATTCTTATGTTGAAAGGAAACGCACATTGATGGATGATAAAGGTCCTCAGGTAAACTAAAAGGTGGACAACGATTTACGTTAATCTCAGGAAAGTTGGAAAAGCAGAGATCAAGCAGTCTACCAATACAATTAGGGGTATGATTGTATTGAACTAAATTATGATCAAACAATTCATTAAAGAACTCAACCCTATCAGACGTTGAAGTAGGAACCAAACAGCCAGAATTATCAGTGTTACACCAAGCGACTTGAGGCAAATTGAAGTCACCCAATGCAACGACCAAATCGCTAAGTCTAGACCGCTGAGCCACTTCACAAATGAGGGCAGCGTGTTTCTTGTAAATCGAGATATCACAATTTGGGGGAACAGAGGAGCAGGTTACAAATAGCTGTTTATTAGGCATTATCGCACGAATGGCGATAAATTCATCGTCAGGAGAAGTGGGAAATTCTATTGAATTGGACGGGACTGACGCAGATATGGCAATTACTACACCACCACCAATGCGATTCACTCGATTCTTTCTGAAGACTTGGAAAGAATTGTGAAAAAGTTCCGACGAATGAAGATCGAGTTTTAACCAAGTTTCGTTGAATGCCAAACAGAAAAACTCCGTGCTCACTGAATTTGGAAAAGTAGAACGAATTTGTGAATTAAGGCTCCTAACATTTTGATAAATGAGATATAGTGGGCCTGAAAAAACAATTAGTTTTTTGAAGGCGACAAGACTATCGGTTTGGTATTACGGGGACGATCACGAGGGATAAATTCCTTAATCAAGGATCCTACTGGCCACATTGGTTTGTTTAACAACATATCACTGTTTTCAGTCGGAACTAATATTTCAAAAGAGGAGATTGCCCTAGATTGTGAAGGAGCCATTATGGAAATGCTAACGCGCTTTAAGTTGACTGATGGGACTTTCGTCGCCAGATAACTTTTTATGTTATCCACCGAAGTTTCAGGTGCCAGTCTTAACACAAATATTGCTTTTCTGGGAAGAACTGCCGTCAAGCAAATGCCATTACTTGGAACAGGGGGGTTCACGGTTTGGGGAGTTTAGAGTTGGAGAAAATATGGATAGCGTTATCGCCCTTGCACCAGCAGCTTGTACGACTTGCTCGTCTGGTGACCAGCGTTCACATTCGAACAACCAGGGGGAGCGGATGATTTATTTTTCTCTTTATTATATGTAGGCGATGGTACTTGATAAGGCTGAATGGCGGCCCTGGGCGGAAATACCCTTGCCACTTCAGCGTAGCGTACAACGGAAGGACTTCCCGGCTTGTTTGTAACTACTTTGTTACCAACCGGCTCAACAATATCGGAAACATTACCATTTCATTTTAGAGTTAGAGGCAGCTGTAGCTTTTACCAACGAATTAGATTTGGAGAAAGCCAGAGGTGACGTCCCACACGCTACACTACGAGTAGAAGATGAGTGTCCAGTAAAGCGACACTCATCAAACCTATACTTAATGAGCTCAAACTTTTCCCACAAGGAGCCGAGTTTTCTACTCAATTCCGAGAAACCATAACGGGTCTCCGTGAAAAGTTTATAAAAGTCAATGTCCCCCTGCCTACAGTCAGGACATGGCCATCTTAAGCCTTCAGACGGATCAGCGACTGCGTCAGCAGCACGGCCAAGAATACCGGCACACTTTGCATGACCAAAGCGCTCGCAGAGCCAACAAGAAATGAATCTATCAGAATCCGGGCCTGATTTCGCCCGACAAGGTGTATAAACACTCCATGTCCTGTCAAAAAGACAGTTGTGGATTATGAAGAACAGACACACAAATCACTAAAAAAAAAAATCCTGAACATAAAAATTTATCAACCAATTTGTGCAAAACTTCTCTGTTAGTTTGACACTGTAACGAGAGATCATTGAAGAAAGGTTTGATACCATATTCGCAGTTTAGCGAACCCTTCAAATAGGACTTTCATTCCTTGAGAAAGAGATACCTGTTCATATTGATATTTAGAAATTTGAGAACTCTTAAACAAAACCAAATTAATCCTTATAAATGTACTTAACATTCGAGGTCGTAATGCTAAATTTTGCTAATTAAAGTGGACAATTCCTTTAAGTAATATAGCAAATTGCATGAAAATACCGGATAGCTGTAGTGTTTTGTTTTCAAATTATTTAAGCGTGCAATGAATCGTTCTGACTCGCCGGATTGGTGTGGGAGTAGAAATTTAATTTGAAATATCCATCCTACACAAAACAAAAATTATTATTTTCTTCACGTGCGTCATCTAATTTAAAATTTATAATCACAACAAAAAGATACGTAATTATCTTAACTCATGCCTATCCTTCACTCATCCTAGCTCCTCCGGAAATCTTACTAAATAATTACGATATTAAAGTAAACTCGTTCGTAAATTTAAATTAATTGATTAAGGAACGAACAATATATATTTAAAAGGAATTCCATATGTGAATTTCATAACTTAAGAAGAAAAATTAGAATAAAAAAACAAAAAAAGTTTTTTCTTAAATCAAAATTTATATTGCAATAATAAAAAAGTTAATCTAGATAAAATTAATTTAATTATAGAAAAAATACTTCAATTTAATAGCAAATATATACAAAAAAAAAAGTTATGCTTAATTTATCTTTGATTCTTTGAAAATTCGGTAAGTCCCATACCAATAAGAAGAACTTCCTCTTTTTGGGCTTATTAATTGACCAAGATAGTTTTCTTGATTATTTCACTAAAACTTACGATTCTCATTCCTTTAGCAACACGCACCAGGGCCAACACAAGCTTCTTGATTATTACAGCAAAATTTACATACGAATTTTAATAAAAATGTTATCTCAAATGTCTATGTTTTGCAAAATGTTTTTTTTACGCCATCAGCCACTTTCATAGTGGCTATTTCAATAAACTGTCATTCTATTCAAAATGGCAAATAATTGTTTAGAACGAACTAATTATTTAATACATAATAAAGTCAATTTGATCGTTTCGGCTTGTTGCTTAGCAAGAGCGTCCGGAATACGTTTCCAATTGCTCAACAGATTCCGTTTTTGTTTTCAATTGCAAAACTTGGACTTGTGTGCTTTGCACTTTAGGCTCACTTTAAAAATATCAGAAATGTTTTAAAACTCAAAATAATGTTTTATTTTTAATATTTTAATACTTGACCTCTCAGAAAAAACGTTTGCTTAGTAATAGAAGCTGAAATACGACGCGAAAGATCAAAACGAAATCATCATACTTTGGAATCGGTTGGTGTTCGATTGCTTTCGTATCGAGTTGGAATTCTTATTTGTTGCGTTTATAATGGAATATTTGTGACATTAAGTTTAATAAATAAAATTAAGTACATTACTGTTTATTTAAATTGCCTGACTTTTCTTAATTAACAGCTTGATATTTTTAATTCCCATGTTAAATTTGCCTGGCTATATTCTGTCCAAACAAAATCTAAATATCACCTTTCCAAATTACTTTTTAAATAGTTTCAAGTAATTGCAGAAATTTTTTCCTGAATTCCATATTTATTATTATATATATATACTACATATATATATCATATATCTATTTACCTCTTTTGATATTTCAAGGCACCAACAAGTAAAAGCACCGAAAATAATTATTTGATTTTGCTACCTCTGCCAACATTTTGAAATTTCTGAGATTAAGTAATTTTTCTATGTTCGACAGCTTTGCTTTCGCACTAAAGTATGACATTTTGCTTTCGATCTTGGCCAAACACTCATACGTTGTCGAGTATCATCAACTAAATTCTCCACCAACTCAAATTACAAATTCAATATAGCGTTTGCTCGATAACGAGAACCATAAACCGACACCTGGTAATTGCCATATACCTAATCAGCTGTTTGAAGTGGTTATGCCACATACCTAATAATTGGTTATATTAGTGGAGTAATAATTTATCAATTGTGAGTAACTAAGACATCAATCGGTCAAAACAATAATAATTCTACAACAATCGTACAAACAACAACTATAGAATAACTTGAACAAGTTTCTGTTATGCTAATTGCAAGGAGGTGATTGATTGCACGCTCATGCGTTAGGAGTGCAATAATGTTGCCACTTTCCACTAGCAACAAGGCAAAAGCTCTACGATGGGCTTATACAGTATGTCGTGAAGAAGATGTGGACTTGCAAAACCTGTTCAAGCAAGCGCAAAGCGCGTTTTCCGAACTCGGTAAGGACTTGAAGAATTTAACTTATCAGTTGGCGTCAGGACTTTTTTAATATGCCTGGCTCCTCTATTTTCACAACATTTAAGCTTCAGTAAATTATGTTCAGATAAATTAAGTATCATTGTATTGTGTTTAAACGGTCGTTCTGTTAATATAATGACTTTTGACTATCCACTTTGCCACTTTGTAATGTTACTCGGGATTGACTGTATATTAGCTATTATTTTACGCAAATAAATAAACATGAAACAATCTAAAAACTTAATATACTTGCCGGTAGAAAGAACATCGTAAACTTAGCAAAATTTAAGATTCCAAATCAATAATATGAAAATGCATTAGAATAAGTTAACTCTAACAAATAAAGATATGTTACATTTTCATTACAGGCAGAGGGCCCTCCTGTTCAAATGGAACCAGTTGATCTCAGTTTGCGGTCATCAAAAGGTAAGGTAAATTCTTTTTTTAAGGTTTCATTTCTCCTATTTATTACTGTAACGTAACTAATTTGGTCGTTAATAATTGGCTGACTATTGTAAGAATTGATGAGCAGCTTAGCAGGTTTGTGAAATTAAAATTATGTTTAAGACCATACACTGAAATCAATGTTATAGAAGGCGGGAACGGTAGTATTTTGAAAATTGCCAAAATATGTTAAAGTAGTTACCTTTTTAAATTTAAAATTTCGAAGATTGTTCACAAACAAAAATAGCCGCGATGTACAAATTTGTTTCACCGTCAGTTTTTTAAGCCACCGGCTTCTCAACCACCGGTATCTCAAGTTTTGCTATCGGAAAATTCGGTCTTTCTTTTGTTATAAAATTTGTAGCAAAACAGTTTTTCTTATCTTATGCTTACGCGCAAATACTTTCTTCTCTCTACTGATGTCAACCTGAAACGTTCGCTGCAGGTAAAAAAGGGTACGTATCCTTTTCTAATGGCATAAAGATCGGGAATATATCCTATCATAGAATCTTACAGTAGTATTAGATCAGTTGGTAGCTAATATAGAGTTGGTCACTGTTAAATTCTAGAATTGGTTTGAATAAATAACTCGCAAATGAGGAGGCTGAACCGCATTCCTCGAAAAGAACAATCATCAAGACATCCACCCAATGTTATATACAACCAATACAATGATAAACTCCTAAGAAGCCAAAATGTTTAAGAATGTATTCCCAGTCCAGCTTGCACTTCATTAAATTCATTTTGATACAGGCAAAAAAGGTTAAGTGGAAGGCGGTAAAATTGTAACCATAAACACAAAATCTGTTAGTTCTAGATAAACAAATGCATTTCATTCACCTTTATTGCGCTCTTTGTTTGAACCCTTAACCGACCACCCGAATGAATTCTGAATGCGGAAGGCACAATATCTAAGCTTTATCATTTAATAGTATTATACTTGCATGTATCAAGTATTCCGCCGAATCCGATAACTTTATCCGAAGCGTTTTTAAAAAAGTGCAAATACATACAAAAAGAATTGACTAAAGCTGAACACTTGTATTTTACTTAATTTAATGCAATTAGCGTATTAATACACTCGAATGGAAACCTATCATCTTAAACTGTAAATGAAAAAATATTATCGTGTGGTGGTTTTGCGAGAAAAATTTAGATAATTTAGATATCAGACGCAAGAAATACTTTTCTCTCTACAAGCAAACACCTTTGCAACCCTTAAATACGAGAGATTTCATGAAAAAATTCCTGTAGGTACAATTTTCAGTGTATTATCGCGAAACCGAATGAACGACTGCATTACCCGAAGCGGGTATCTTATGTTCGGTCTTGTCCGACTATGGTGCTCTTATTTGTTTAATCAAACTTTGTTTTTCGAACCCTTTTGGCCCATCTAAATTCTCGCACTCGCTCACGATTTACAATGGTCACGCTCTGACCCTAAAACGACTTAATAATAACTTAATAATAATTACAATTATCACTTGAGTTATGCGTATTAAATAAAATGTTTGGTCTAATTATCTTTGAACTGACAAGCATTCAATTGGAAAGGTCAAACTTACAAAGTTTTTACAAAATTTGCGGTAAATATATAAATTTTTGTGACCCACTTCATGTTTATCATAAATATTACGTATATAGACACACAAATAGACGCTATTCCCATTTTAAAGCCAGCAAAACCGTGAAATGATGTCAAAAATCATCGTCCTATTATCTCTTCAGCTTTCTAAGGAAGATATTTGAAAAAATTTAAAGTCAAATTATTAAGAACAATTTCCGAGAAAATTGTTACACAATATCAAGAGTTTAATATTAAAAGTCAGCATAATATTTGGCACTAAAAAATCCACTGGCATATTTCTCTATGACGTTGGAAAAGCATTTGATTTTCTTTGGTGTAATGTTTTGATTTTTAAATCTCTTGGATTTCCTCTTCTCGAAGTAGCTTGTCCTAAACTTAGGTACGATACCTCTGAATTTCTTCTTTATATAATTATTCATACGCCGCAAGTACTGGCTCTGGATACAACTTTGTTGTCGATTCTCTGTACCTGCTCTTTCTTTTCCCCTTAATGACTTTATTTGACTTTAAACATTTAGAAGTTATACAGTTACACGCTGTCCTATTCAGCATTTCAAAAGCAAGTGCAAAATCGACACACAAATGCTGTATCTATTAATAAATAAATTGTAAATTTGGTTTTACATATAAGATTCCCTTAATTAAAGTCATGTTTCAATCAATTGTATTACATGCTCGCCCAGGACTGTGTACTAACTCATTTTAAAAATTTGGAAATATACAATTAATTTAAGCTTACATAATAAAATTACTAAATACCTTTTTACTTCCAAGTTGCACAATACGTGGGTCTATTATAAATGTGAACACATTAAGAATAAAAATTCAAATTATAAAAACAATTTATGTGAAATTGTTAGTTATCTAAAAACATTTTTATAAATCACCCTATTTTATAGTCTGTGAAGCAAGTCTGTATACCAAACCGATTTTCTGTACCATGCAAAGGTCTATTTCTTGAAGAAATATTTATATTTCACACAAAATTTCCTATTCCAGTCCAAAGTGATTGAATTTTCGATATGAGTTCAGTTTTTGAAAAAACCCTTTTACAATATTATCTCGACTGCAGCGAAGACGCTCCGCAGGCTTGTCATAAAATGCGAGATGTTCATGGTGGAAACCCCTTATGAAATCGACAGTATGTAAATGGTGTGCTAGTTTCCGCTTCGAAAATTTCTAAAGCTTCTAACGCTTTAGTGGAAAGGTCAAATCATGCGAAGCATCTCAAAATGTTTAAAAAGATTCCCTCCTAACAATGCCAAACAACACATATTGAGAGAATTTGGCTGACAAGCTTGCCAGTGCACAGCTCGGAAGAACTTTGAAAAATGCCTGAAAAAATTAATTGGCTCTGTAAATAAATTTTTGAACTCCGTTTAAGAAAACGCCGTCAACTTTGTTTTGATCCCTGATTTTATGTGTCTATGGAAGCTTTCTGTGATTTTTCCTTTTCGAAACATTTTAATGGAAAAATACATTTATTTTCACCGCTATGTTTACGTACAAACACGAATATATATTAGCAAAATGACCATTTATATGAAACGATGTACAAATCCACAATTTAAAGCAGCTGCACGTACTTACTGACGCCAGATGTCTATTATTGACAGCTTGGTGATCGTCATCTTGGCGACGGTTATGTTTTTTGCATGCTTGTGTTGGTATAAAGTATTTCACTTAAAATCATCCAAAACGTTAGAAGATCCTAACAAAATTGCATGCTCGCAAAGACTAAGTTCAAAAACTTCAACTAAATCCAGATTTAACAAATTCCAATGAGTATAAATATACCACTAAAGTCTTTTTCTAAAGCACAAAAATGTTCAATGACTTCATAATGAAGTCACTACTTAAAATTGTTGAAAACTACAATTAGTTAAAACTTTAATTACGCCTTCTGGCACCATTTTATTTGTAATATCTTTCTTTGACTGGATAATTTAATGACCACTTATTGACAGATTTTTTCGAAACCTAAAAATTATTTACTGAAGTTAGCGTCATTTTTTATAATATTTTTTAAATCAAAATTTTTAAAAAAACTTTCGTGATTTAAAAGGGTGTTTATTATGAAGCCACAATTAAAGTTTGCATTCAACTGATTGGCAATTGACTTATGTTAGGGATTCTAAAAAGAAAGCCGGTTACTTTATCAGATTTGCTGTGATTCATTCTAGTTTTAAATAATTACAAAAAATTTTGGATATATCTCAACAATTTTCCAAAATTGTAAAAAATGTATTCCAATGCACTCGTTGGCACTTCGTCAATAATTTGAGAAAATAACCTATTACTTCGTGCCCGCAAGCTAATACTGCCACTTAAGCGATTATAAGCGAATGTGTACATAGATATAATAAGAAATAATATATCACGCATACTTATGTGGACTGGCTGATAGTGCTTATTAGGATTCTTTTTTTTTATTAAACGCAATATTTATTTGAATTGTGACAATATTTCTACGCATTCACAAAGTACAAGTGTTCAAAATTTTCTAAACAGGGATTTATTGCGTTTTCTAGGTTCAATTCTTCGTTACATAACAGAAGGTTTAAATATCCAGAAAATCTATTTGTACAAAAATTATATTCCCCACAAAATCACTTTATTACATACACATTAATTTTTATTAAAAAGACGTTCTTTTGTTAATGATGAGCACTCCTTATATATAGGATAGGATAGTACGACATGTTTGAAAATATGTCTAATTACATTTATATTTAATCGACGCAATAACCTACCTAACAAAACAATCGCGTATACGAATACTGTAGTTGTCAATCATGTGTATAGCAGCTTCTTAAAATTCAAGACTGCTGCAAACTTAATAACGAAAATGTAACCATGCTGTACGAAAAAAGGTTTTCTATTTTTTCTTTGGTATTCTATGAACGAACACAATAAATTTGATGATGACGCCGATTGCTGATTTAAGCGGCGCTTGGACACAACTACTTTTATAAAGCAACATGCAAGCAAACTTAACTCTCAAATTACATGTTCTTGGTAGCGTTTATGTGGAGAAGTTTATTTATCCAAATTCAACACGATTTGTGTGAATTCCCACAGGTATAAATAGCCCATTGCTTGTTGAACGGACAGACATTTGATGGGTCGGGTTAGGTGATACAATCGCAAATTATTCAACCATAATCGCGTACAAACAAACAAACATTACTAAGTGAATACAATTCGAGCCAATTCAATTTTTTTAGCGAAAGCAATAGGATGGGAAAATTCATTCTGCGCCGCACAACTTGATTTATTTAAGCTACCAAAACAGCTCATGAACAAAGCTGTTTTCTTTAAATCTCGCTGTGTTACTCCACCCCTGGGAGCAGTTTGAGTTGTCCTAGTTGATGTGTAAGCATGCACATTCACA